GGATATAGGCACATCTTCTGGTGAGAACAAACAGTAGCCTTTATGTTAAATGATAATTTGGAAATAAGACATATGTTAAGAAGCAAAAGTGTTTAAAGTTAGCCCCAGAATTTTTAGACTTAAAGCATTATTAAACAATTATAAATACAATCTATCAATAACTTATTCATACAGGGAAACAATTCAGAGGAAATATTGATCTATCTCCCTGTATGAAACTTCCCTTTTCATTCAAATCATTTATATTCTAATTAATATTAATTTCTAGGTGGAAGCAAATAATTTGTATATATCACATGTGCTCAAAACAGTCATTATTTAGAAACTTGAAAGTACGCCTGAAGCTCATTCTAAAGGGAAGCAACACTATTATATTAACATAAAAATCACTTAAATAAAACTTTAGGAAATACTTTAGCTATATATTAGTGATTTTCTATGATTTCCTAGGCCAATAGGACTTTCTTTTTAAGCAACATTTTACAGAAGGAAGCTTCAGGTAGCAATGACTCACTTTTATTGAGAAATATGAGTTGACAAATGAGGCTCTTGCTGATAAATTTTCTATTTTGATAGAATGAAATGAGTGACATTAGGTAATTAATCCAATTTGTTTAAGCAAGAGAGAGACTTCCCACCATGAAATAGAAGAAATTCAATATTAGGATTATGTAAGACAATGAGATGTAATAGTTGGAGAGAATAAAAATAGATTGTTTTGTTTTGCAACCAATAGTTTCTGTCTGGCTAATGTACTGTAATTCAAATATTAGAAGTCTATGAAGTTATTAATTTGTCTTATAAAATTTAAGATACTCCTGGAGCTTATTAAGAGTCAAACAGTATGGAACATTGCAATATTAAGCAAATAGATTATTTTTTTCAAATACTCTTATTTCATAAAGTTCCATAATTCACAATTTTTATCTCCAAATAGTTGATCGCTAGACTTAATTTTCAAAAAGGCATTATAGAAAACATAGAAGTACCCTTTTATAGTATATATACTCATTTTATATTAGAGACGCAGCATTACATTGTGGTCAGAAATTGCTCTATATTTTGTCAGTTCGCAAATGAAAGCAAAATCTAAAATCTTTTTAAAGAAAGTATAAATAATTTGGAAATGTCTACCATAAAAAATAGGTTGCCCATGGTCTGTGAAAACAGCTGGATATGATCTTTAATGGCAGTGGTAATCTGTTTAGTTTAATATGACTATAATATGCAAACATTCATAGTGGACTTGAATTCAGCCCATCTGAATTTTTAATGCGTGAACAAATTGTTTCAGTGATTTGACCAAGTTGTTATGATGATTTAATAAATTCAGTCAACTCTTGCAGACTGGTTGCTCATACAGGTTTTTATTCGGCTTTCCATTGATCAGTGACCAATTAAGAACTAATTCTAACGTTTAAATATTTTTACTTATGTTACTAATTCATTACATAAAATTGCTACATATTTTAATATGCACTTCAATAATGCTTTTAGCTCACTGACAAACATAAACCTGCATATTTAAACAATGCACATATGTAAATGAATTATATAGAATTATGGTGTATTTCCCATAATGCACCCCTGGCAAATAGGGTTGCATGGGGGCTGGCACTGGGGCACAGCAGGTTAAAGTCGCAGCCTGTGGTGCCAGCATCCCATATGGGTGCCACTTTGAGTCATGGCTCCACTTCCAATTCAGCTTCCTGCTAATGCACCTGGGGAAGCCACGGAGGACAGCCCAAGTGCTTGGGCCCCTGCACCCACGTGGGAGATGGTCCAAAGCTCCTGCTCATGGCTTTGGATTGGCTCAGCTCTGCCTGTTGCAGTCATTATGGGGAGTGAACCAGCGGATGGAAGACCTCTCCCTCTCTCTCTGTGTCTCTATCACTCTCTGTAACTCAAATAAATAAAATGAATCTATTAAAAAATAGGGTTGCACCACATTAGTAATACATTCACTAATACTTCTTGAAATTTTTGTTTATTTTTTTATTATTATTTTTTTTGATAGGCAGAGTTACACAGTGAGAGACCGTTGGTTCACCCCCCAATTGGCCGCCACAGCCGGCGTTGCGCTGATCTGGAGCCAGGAGCCAGGTGCTTCCTCCTGATCTCCCATGCAGGTGCAGGGCCCAAGGACTTGGGCCATCCTCCACTGCCTTCCCGGGCCACAGCAGAGAGCTGGGCAGGAAGAGGAGCAACTGGGACAGAATCTGGCGCCCCAACCGGGACTAGAACCTGGGGTGTCGGTGCCACAGGCGGAGGATTAGCCTAGTGAGCCATGGCGCCAGCTAAAACTTTTGTTTGTTAATGCTTACAAGTTTACTTGTAAAAAAGATGTTAATGGCTTTGACATACATGGGTGTGAAAGACATGATAGATCATATCTAGGACATACATAGTATAAAATCATAAATAGGACATATTAGTTTCAAGAAGAAAAGACCATAATGCATTATGAAGATGCGTTTCTGTGATGCATTCTATCCAATAAAATGAATTAAGCTGTTTGAAAGATAATTATTTAGGACAAATGAAAGGAAGGGATTTTAATTTTCCCAATCTCTCCTCTCATAATTTTTTTAAATATTAGAATGTTTTCCTCTTCAGACATGTGACCATATGTCTCTACCCCAGTGTTGTCATGGGTATTAAGCTGTGTGTCACATCCAGAGGAGATGGTGCAATATTGGTTGTTCAACAAAAGGCTGACATTGTTCTTATTTGTGGAATGCCCCTGTACTTTAACTGCGGCTACTGCTAATGTTCTAATAGTAACATGAAAAAATACTAATAACATCAGAGTGAGAAAAAGAATAATACCCGAGGTAAATAGAATTATTTTCCCTTTTAAATCTTAGTGATGGTGCCAGCACTGTGACCCAGTGGGTTAAGATGCAGGTTACAACGCTGGAATTCCACACTGGATATCTGGTTCACAGCAACACTTCTAATCTACCTTCCTGCTAATGTGCCTGGGAAGGTAGCAGGTGATGGCCCATGCGCTTTGGTCCCTGCCCCTGATATGGGCAGCTTGGATGGAGGCCCTGGCTCTTGGCTTCAACCTGCCAACCACTTGCTGATGTGGGCATTCAGGGAGTGAACCCCTGGGTGAACGATCTCTCCCTCTCTCTGACATTCGACTTTCAAATAAATCTTAAAAAATAAACATTTAAATTTTGCATTCTATAAACGTTCCTAAGCATGTTTAAAAGTTAAAATCCCATCACTCGGGGCTGACGCTGTGGTGCAGTAGGCTAACCCTATGCCTGCAGTTCCTGCATTCTATATGGGCGCTGGTTCTAGTCTCGGCTGCTCCTCTTCTGATCTAGCTCTCTGCTATGGCTTGGGAAAGCAGAAGAAGATGGACCAAGTCCTTGGGTCCATGCACCCATGTGGGGAGGCCCAGAAGAAGCTCCTGGCTCCTGGCTTCGGATCGGTACAGCTCCGGCAGTTGTGGCCATTTGGGGAGTGAACCAGCAGATGGAAAACCTTTCTCTGTCTCTCCCTGTAACTCTACCTCTCAAATAAATAAATAAAATCTTTGAAAAAAAAAATACCATCACTTGACTTAAATACCTTCTTATAGTTGAATAGCCAACAAATCAATCAGTAAATAGCCAACCTTCCTGTCAATCTATTACCATTTTTGTTCTGAAAATTACCTAGAGCCCAAATTTAAATGTAATCTGTTTTTTTCCCATTATATAAGAATGCTTATTACTGTCATTCCATAATCTAGGTCACACCAAACAAGTTAAAGGTTTCTTACTTATGTATTATTTAAATATGTGAGTGACCCCATAGAAGAGATCCATATTTCCCCCAAAAGATAATTTTGTGTTTGCGTTTACATTCGTCAAAAGAGATGCTTATAGCACAGCATTTCAGAAAGTCGCTTAATAGAGTTGTTACTTGAAGATTACAGACGTGTCAGAGGTGCTGCTGCTTAGTTAGCTTCCTGGAACTGGTTGACCCAGCCTGCGCCTCGCGTTGCTTGCGCGGACCCAGAGCCCTTTGCTACTTGTGCTAGCCCGCGAGTCTGCAGCACAGCGGACTGGGAGCCTAGTGCTCCTTCTGACAGTGAGGCTATCAAATCCACGCACTCTTCGAACTAAGGGTCCAGCAGTAGGAATGAACTCCCGCCAGGAGTCGGACTCACAGCTAGGGCACAAGCCCACCAACTGGGGGTGCCTATGACCAGCATGGCGGGAAAGTGGGGACGCACAAGCCCCGGGTTTCACTGATGTTTCTTGGGGGGGGGGGGGCGCTGCTGGATTTCGGAGCTGTTGTATGTTCCCTGCTACTGTCCATGCCCTGTCCAGCAAGCAGAGAGCCCTTGGCCGGAGATGCCCCTTGGCACTGATACCGGGCCTCCCCTGACCGGAGGCGACGCTGGGACCACCCTGCCGCCTGCTTCCCGACGCCCGCCCTGGGGGAACCGGGGCGCGGCCGTGCGCCTGCCCTGCTCAGAGACGCGGGCGTGGCCGCGCCGGTCCGAGGGGCAGCGCGGCGCGGAGGGGGCCCGGGGGGCTGTGGCCGGCTCAGCGCGCGCCGCCCAGAGACTCTCCGGACGCTGCAGAGGACTTGCAGGGCGAGAGCCGCGGCGGAGCATGGCGGAGTGGGAGCGGGCTCGGCTCGCCGGCCGCCGGGGGCTTGCTTTGCATCAGCCTGCCTGTCGGAACACGTACTCCGTGCCGGTCCACGGGCACCGTGGCCTCTGAACGACGGTCTCGAGAAGCTTTTATAAAGAGTGCGCCGCGCTGAGGCCCGGCGGCCGTGACCCGCCGCGACCTCCCCGAGCGGGCGCCCGGCGCGCAGCCCTCGCCGCCCGCCGCCGTGGTTTCGGTGCAGCCCAGCGCGGCCTTTCTGGGGAATAAAGACCGGGCAGGGGCGGTGGGGGCCGAACTCCGCCGGGTCCCCAGGGTCCCCCGGGTTCCTCCCGGGTGCGCGCGTCCGCCGCCCGCGGCAGGGAGGCGCCGGCGCCCGCAGGGGGCGCCCCACGCCCGTGTTGCGCGCCTCGCCCGCTCCGGCCCGCCGGCTCGTCAGAGCTCGGAGCGGGCGGCTTTCAGCCACACGCGCGCCTGCGACGCGCGAAGCCAGGCGGGCAGCGCCGCGCTCCAGTCCCGGCCCGAACCGGAGACTCCGGAACCACAGCACCCCTGGACCTTTCCATTCCCCGGGCCTTCGCTCTCTCCACCGCACACGTCTTTTTTTTTTTTTTTTTTTTCTCTTTTCTTTTTTTTGGTCGTTTGTTCCTGAATTATGAACGTGGCCACGCCGCTCACGACTAAGACTTGGAGGGAATTTGGAAAGGGAAAGAAAGGCTCGAGGAGGAGAGACGCGGCCAGTGCCGGTGAGGGTCTCTGATAGGCGCGTCCGGGTGAGCGCCCGACCGGCAGTCGCGGGCAGCGCCGCGCGGTGCCCTCCGGAGCTGCGCGCCGAGGCCGGGGCGCACGCAGTGCAGCGGGCGCGGGGAGCCTGCGGGGGCCGGGAAGACGCGGGCGTCCGCGGGCCCGGGGCTCGGGGCGTGGGGGCGGGTCGGATTCAGGGGCGCGAAGGCGCAGGTCTTTGCTGTGGGAATATTGGGTCATGAGCCGCGAGCAGGGTCGCGCTCCCAGTCCTCTGGCTCCCCGCTCGCTTCATTTTCTCTGGGCACAACTTGGCGAACGGCGGTGCTCGCCCACCATGGACGCTCCAGGTACCCACCCGCGACCCCGCGCGCCCAGGGCCTGCGCGTTGAGGAGGACCGTGGCCGCGTCCACGTCCGGGGGTCCGAGCGAGGGACGGTGGGAGTGGAGGGACCGCGGAGTCTGTATTTTTTTTTTTTTTTTTAAAACGAGATCTGAGGAGCCAGGGTCTTTTTTTTCCCTAAGCAACTTCTCAGTTCTTGGAAAGATTATTGCGGGGTCTTTTGGAGGCGGTGGGCGGTGGCGCGGGGGCGGTGTCCTGGGGTTTTCTGGTTGGGAACGAAACGCCCTGTCCGGCTCGCGGGGCGCACAGGGACCGAGTGAAAGTCCCCGCGGGCGCGTGAAGTTCGCAGGGATCTTAGCCTCCCCCCCCCCCCCGGGGAGGAGAGGACCACGCGTGGCGCAGGACCGCGACAGGCAGCAGAGCGGGGGTCCCCCGTCGCTGGCTTCTCCCGGGGTCTCGCTCTGGAAGGGGCGGGGGTGCGGGGTCTCCATTCCGGTCTCATCCCTCTTTCGCTCCTCTTTAATCTCGCTCTAGAATCTGGCTGGGGTCTGTTCTGGGGGAAGCGGGTAAAACCCTCACTAAATGGATACCTCCCGCGGCAGGAGCCTGGAGAAAGAAGGGGAGCCCGGGGCTGGGGAGACGGTGTCCCCGCGTGGCTTGCGGGGACACGAGAGCCTCAGGGGGCTTCCCTGCGTTGCCTGCGCCCTGAGCTCCCTCCACCTGTGCGTGAACGCGCGGGACGCCGTCGCGGGTCGCCGACCCCCTCTTAGGGACCAGGTCCCCTGAGCCGTGGGCGCCGACTTCGCAGCTCCCCCGCAACCCGCGCCCGCGCGGGAGCCTTTAGGAGTGTGCGCGAGGCCGGTCTCCGGACCTGTCGTGCCAAATCGGGGGCCCGGAGGTGGCCTCCGAGGAGGGGTCCTGCTGCCCGGCTCGTCCCCCTCGCCCTGGTCCCGGCGGCGCCTCCCTGGCTAAGCTCTGGATTCTTTGCTCTGGCAGGTCCACTGGCGCCTCTCTTCTGAGAACTGCCCCGGCCCTGACCATCGGAGCAGGGGACCCGCGCCGCCGAAGGCAACCGCGTGCCCGGCGCGTACCTGCGCGCCCGCTCGCGCTCCGCCCGCCCCAGCGCGCCGCCCCCGCCCCCAGCCCGGATGCCGGCGCCCGGCCGGGGCCCCCGCGGGCCGCCGCTGACCATGTCCGGGCGTCCGGAGGCGCGGCGCGAGCCGGCCGGCTGCGGCTCCTGCCTGGGGGCTGCGCTGGCCCTGCTGCTGCTGCTGCTGCCCGCCTGCTGCCCGGTGCGGGCGCAGAACGACACGGAGCCCATCGTGCTGGAGGGCAAGTGCCTGGTGGTGTGCGACTCCAGCCCGTCGGCCGACGGCGCCGTCACCTCCTCGCTGGGCATCTCCGTGCGCTCCGGCAGCGCCAAGGTGGCCTTCTCCGCCACGCGCAGCACCAACCACGAGCCGTCCGAGATGAGCAACCGCACCATGACCATCTACTTCGACCAGGTCAGCCGCGCTCCGGGGAGGAGAGGGCGCGGGTCTGGGCGCGTGGCCTGGGTGCCCCTGGCTGCTCCGACGGGTAGTGCCCAGCGCGTTCTTGCTCCCTGCCCGGCCTCGCTGCCCTGGTGTGTCTCCGTGTTCCAGGGCGCTCTTCTCACATTTCCCATTCTCCCACGGCAGCTTTTTTATTTTTAAACTCTCCTCTTACTTGGCATTTGGATGAGTGAGAGAGTCCCTTAAAGCTGTCCAAGCCCTCTCGGAGCTGCGAAGCTAAGAGATGGGAAACGCGTTTCCTCCCCCAGGAAGCTCCTGCACGCTTGTCTCTGAGGGGCCGGTGGGTGGTTGTCGAAGCCCCGGGGAGACACTCACGGGTTGAATGCGTCTCAGAGTCTCCGCACTCCAGAAAGGAGTTTTGCAAAGGCCTCAGCCAGTACTCAAGGAATAGGTCCCGATTGATTATTTTGAGGGATACACTCCGGGAGGGGAACTTGGTCTTCGAGAAAGTTAGTGGGGAAGGCTGGGGAGGGCGGCGGGAATCACTGGAATGGTTGTGTAAAAACAAAGCAAAATGAAAATGTGTTTATGTGAAAACCACATAAAGTAAGTGAAGTATATACACAGTGCAAACACAGTGCATATTGTGTGTGCGTGCGTCTTGCAGTTGTAACAGTGAAAACAAAATCAGCAGCGATGCCGGGACTCACCCCAAGTCACTTAACTCCTGCCACTTGGATCAGTGGCCTTTGCATTCCTTTCTCTGGGTTAGTGGTGCTCCGGGCTACAGGTTGTGACCACAATTGTTCCTAGGTCTCTACCTTGATTTGTATGATTTTTCAGGGACAAATTGAAAACTCTGTAGTGGTTTCTGAACTTAAGCCATCAGCTAGTCCCCCTGCCAGAGTGCTTCCCACAAAATGGAGTACTCGGCAGTCACTAGGAAAGTGTATCTGTGACTGGTTATCGTCCACACTCAAGTGGCTTTGCTTCTCTCCAGTAAGCAGCTCTTGAAGCGGCCTAGAGACAGACACATACACACACCCCTCCTCTTGCCTCTTAGCTCAGTGTTGTAGTAAATTCATTGTTTGAGGCTTTGTTAAGGCTCATGTATTAAAGGGTTTGGAGTATGGGAGGTTTCTCGTGCCCATTTTTATTTACAAGGCATAATTATGTCCAAGGAATGGAGGCAATTGCATAGATATTTGGTGACTATGCACTGTCTTAATTAGAATGTTCTCTGTGTGGTATTACTGTTGCATTATTGTAATTCACTTACCACTGTCTTACCAATAGCTTTCCCAGCAACTTCACATCCATCGCTTCATTTAGGTGTAAATTGTGTAGCTGAGCTAATTGTGTTGGGAAGGGTTGGGTAGTGATTCTCGGGTTCCTCATTTAGGGAGTAATTGATGCCTGCTTTGGGAAGGCGGCTGGGGGGAGCTGGCTGGGTTCTTTCATCTGAAGCTGACTCTGGAATTGACCAGTTTCCAGGATTGAAAGTTGCGTTGGACTAGAGGCAAGAAGGGGCACTGGGGGTGAGATGGAGACCTCTCTCTTCCTCTCTGAAGCGTTGTGAGGACTGGGAGCAGGGCCTTTGCAAATCTGAAAACAGGCGTGTGAAGTGCTTTGTCTGTGAGCACACAGCCAACAAGCCGAGAGTGCCTGCGAGGCCTGCTGGGCCGTGGGCTGAAGTGGTGCTCACGGCTGGTTGATGATGACACTGGCGCATTCCCCGCGTTGTGTCAGCACTTGCCACCGGCAGCATTTCACATTGCTGTGGCAGCCGCACGTTATTCGTCCGTAATGAGTGTGTGAGAAATGACAGCCGAAGGTATTCCGGCTGAAGCTCGTTTCTGAGCAGGTGACAAGGATCCGCGTCCAGGTTGTGGTGTTGGGGCTAGCTGATGCCTGATAGGCTGTGTTGTTATTGTCCCCAAGTTGTGCACTTGTGTGTGAGGAGGAAGTGAGAGAGGATCCAGCCACACAGGTGAGACTCTGTGTTGAGTGTCAGGACGGGGACCTGCCACTCCCGAGTTCTACTTGTGACTTAAATCCCACCTTTGTTGGAAGAAATACCATCGCAGGGGTCATGGGTTCTCTGGTCAGGTTAATTTTACCACTGTTGTGTGGTGTGGGGTTTCTGCAGTTTGAGCCGAGGGTGTCCAAGAGACTGGATTTTCTCTTTATTTATTCAAGCCCATTTGAAATGGCATCAAAGCTTGGTTAAGGGAGCAAACGCATTGTTCAGAGGAAAGCTAGGCACAACAGGGGCCGGTGTTCATCCACAAAGCTTTCTCACTCAGCAGCCATTATTGAGCACCTCCTGTTTGCTTGCCAGAGTCTGCCAGGTGCCAGGAAACACAGGAAACGAAACCTCCCAGGATTTTCTCCCAGAGCATCTCAAATCAGGCCCCAAGCATGTTCCTACCGACATGACCTCATGTTACCGGCTCTTACTCCACAGTCCTTTCTCCACCCGGGATGTTTCGAAGTATGTTTTCGTCAAACAGAAGATCTTGTGGAAGTCCCTGTAGTCCCACAGACCTCTGAAACAATTTGTGAATGGAGTTTGCAGCCTTCCACTCCCCCCCCACCCCGGCCTCTGCTTTGCACAGTGTATAAAATTCATATATTCTTTTTGGATGTACAGATGATTCGTATTTTAAAAACCTTTAAGAATGAACACTTCTAAAACCAACTTCTGTAGGATAGTTTAGCTTCAGCACCAACCCCTTTGTGGGGCTGCCTGGGAACCTGACCTGGTCGTCTGAGTATGATTCAGACATATGCTGGCGAGACACCTGCTATGTTTGCCCTGTGTTTCCTCTTCTTTTGCAGGTATTAGTAAATATTGGCAACCATTTCGACCTTGCCTCCAGTATATTTGTAGCACCAAGAAAGGGGATTTATAGCTTCAGCTTCCACGTGGTCAAAGTGTATAACAGACAAACGATTCAGGTGGGTAGCCTTGCAAACTAGACACTTGCACAGGTGTGTGAGGCTGGGGGATGCCCTGGAGCTGAGTGTGGCCCTGACCCAGACAGGAGTCTTCCTGGGCAGCCCCCCTGCAGTGGGCTGTAAGGGAAGGGCTGAGGGTAGGAGTGGGTTGTGGAGAGAGAGGACAACTTGTGTGTGTGTATGTGTGTGTGTGTGTGTGTGTGTGTGTGTTTTGTGCGGTTCCTTGTGGTCTGCTGAGCTCTCTCTTCTGCATTGCAGGTCAGTTTAATGCAAAATGGCTACCCGGTGATCTCGGCGTTTGCAGGCGACCAGGATGTCACCAGAGAAGCTGCTAGCAATGGTGTCCTACTGCTCATGGAAAGGGAGGACAAAGTGCATCTCAAACTGGAGAGGGGCAACCTCATGGGGGGCTGGAAGTACTCCACGTTCTCCGGCTTCTTGGTTTTTCCTCTATAGACTCAGAGCCCCCTCGATGGTGGGGAAGTCGCGATGTGGACCCAGGAATCCACCCTCTGTAACATCCTGAACTCTCAGAATAGGACAACTTGCTTCCAGCCTCCTCCAGACCTCGTGGTAGAAGAATGACTTACTTCCGAATCTCCAGCATTTTCTTTGAATACTGACAGTTCCTTGGGAACCTGGCCTCTAATGAGTTTTAGATGACAAGGTTTTAAGGAGAAATGAGATTATCGATTTGAGCAATTTGTACCTGTGATTGTAAAGTCAATATCGGATTTTCTTGTTGGGGACCATTGACTTGATCTCCTTTTGTTTGTACTTTGTGTTGTTGTTCTGATGCGAGGAGTGCCGCTGAGCCCAGGATAGAGGGCAGGTTGCAGCAGGGCTCAAAGCCAGAGCCCCGCAAGGAGCCACCTGCCGGGCAGTCCTTGACATGTGTTCTGTGTGTGTCCATAGAGCCTCAAGAAAGGAGTGGCTTCCCTTTCAGTCTGTATTTTCCCGCCCCTGGGTGGATGTGAGGACGGGGGAGGGGGTTGGGACATTGTGAACCTGTCAAGAAGTGCTTTATCCAGAGAAGCAAATTTTGCACGATTGGATTGCAATTTCTGTTTCGTATTGTTTGTGTTTTTTTTTTTTTTTTTCCTCAGAAAGCTTTACTTTTCTTTCCACATTCATCTCTTCCTCTTCACCCCAATTTTAATTTTCATGTTGGGGTCAGGGAAAGTAAATATATGTTGAATTGTTGAATGAGACCAAATCCAAACCCTAAAAAAACAAATAGCTGCATATTTTGTTTTGAATGAGACCAAACGAAACCAAACAATCTGTGTATCAAAGTAAACGTAGCAAATGGACAATTCTGCCTATTCTTTCAAAGACATTGTCCCAGACGCATCATTAGAAGTAGCAGCCTGGATTTTATGTCCTTTGTTTATTTTTAATTTACACTCCGGAATCCTTTAAGAACCTGGCGTTCCTGGGTGGGCCTGCACCGTCTGAGTTAAGAGTGGAAGCTGTAAAACCAAACCCTCTGCAGCCGCCGTTCCCTTGCCGAGTGCGCCCCTGACTTCTCGGTGTGTTTTCATTCGTTGGATCTGCCTCTGAGTGATGGCACAGACATCAGGTGCTTCAGAGACAGAAGGACCAGCTCCCCTTCTAGGGATGCTCCTTTGATCTGCCACAGGAAGGAATATGTTGACACTCAGTTGCTGGTACCTGGCGGGAGGCCACCTGGAAGGCACAGCGGTTAAAGGTATTGGCTGAGGAACCGGAGGAGTGGTTTTACAAACCATCTTGCTTTGGCACCTTGTGCGACAGTGTTGTTGAGACACAGCTGAGAGCTGATGGGTGCGGGATGCATATGCCAAGGAAATGTCATTGATTCCAAAGCAATCAAAGATGAAACCTCAAACCGGATGTTAATTTGTCCTTTGTGTAACAATGTAACCAAAATATTGATGATAAAAAGTCATAATTTAAGATTCTGAATAAATGGGTTTGATGTCTGGCTTGCTCTTATCCCTCCACATCGCCTCCGCACTCTGAGCGTGAGTGGGAGTTGCAGCCAATATCAAGCACGTGGGGTACACAGATACACATCCATATAGGGCAAATGAGCCGCGGCTCTGGACAGCAAATGTACGTTGTATGGAGAGGGAGCTGGCTTTTGCCACCCAGCATCTTTGACGCTATGTGAGTTCCTATACAGCATTTCAGCCTGACCTCTGAGATAAAGGAAACTGGCATTTGGAGATGGCCGTTGTCCCCAAGAGTCTGTGTGAGCATGGGGAGTTGCTGGAGTCCATCTCCAAGCCAGAGTGGCAGTGATGCTTAGAGAAATGAAAAATGGATAGCTTAATTAAGAGTCAAAGTTGTGCAGCATAGCAGGATGCAGGATTTAATTTGGATGTAAATGTTGTTACATTTTGTTAGGAAAAGAAAATTAAGAAAATTTTTGAGGTTCGTGGGCTCTGTGATTAGGAGACACACTTTTGGACATGGGCATTGTTTATTGATGCTGCTAGCAAAGAGAAGGGTGCTAGAGTGCATTTTCTGTGTTCTATTGCTCTTGGTTATTTTAGTGTTTTACCCATTTCCTTAGCATTATGTTCAATTTAAAACAAGTAGAAACCTCATTAGAGGGTAAAGTAGTACTTCAGAGACTGAAAAGTATATGTATACTTGTTATTTTTATCACTTAAGATATGTAATGCACATATTTGTATTTATAGCTTTATTACATGCAGGTTCTTATCAAGCTATACTGCCTAATAAATAAGTTATGACATTGATCAATCTAAAAATAAGTATATTTCGGGAGTTTATTTTATGTTAAGGGGGAAAAGGCTCCTCCTGATGGCTCCAGTGCATCCTTATTATATTTTTTTCTCCAGATGGATGCCAGAAAGCGCATTAGGAAGCAGCCGTGCTGACAGTCTCTGAAGTTGTTTACCATCCTCTGCAGTGTTGGCCAAGGTGCTGCTCGGCCAGGGATCTCTGTGGTTTATGAAGCTTCAGTGTGTGGTCTACAAAAGTTTATGTAGGTCGGATCAAAATGTGAATTTTCCCTTCACTGGGGAGAAGATCTAGATGCATCTGGAATATGTGAAAGTGGATCTGTGCAGCGGTGTCTCTGGGCCTTGGCTGTCTCACCTGGAGGAAGGCCAGGAGCAGGGCAGCCTGCAGGGCAGTTGTGGGGTGGGGGCACTAGGGAGCATTATAATAAAGGGGGCCTGGTGACAGGGTGGGTGTTTCTGTAAAAACAAGTTTTTAAAAATGCAGTGTATGAAGAGCATTTAAAAGAGTAGCTGATGGGAAGACAATTTTATGTGAAAGTAAATTTCCATATTTCTCTGTAAACGATTAAAACTGCAGCACTGTATTGAAGTTTTCTTTAATGTGATTTTTAGGGATAATATCAAAATCTGTACATTTTACTATTAGTTCAATTCTCAGATATGTTTTTAGGCTATCCCTTGCTATTCTCTTCCAGTGAGCATACCAACATTTTGTAAACATATGTAACTATAAAATTCTTAACAGAAGCAAACTATGTGGTATGATGGCATGGTTATAGTAAGTTGCTTACATTGATAAATGCTAGTCCTCCTAAATTGTAAATGCTTTTAAGCCAATACCATTTCTTAAAATACATTGCCACTTAAACACAACCCTGGTGATTTCCAACTCTTAGGTCGTGAGAAACCATGTTCACTTTCTATTTCCTGAGCATTTTTGATGTATGTGTTCATGTATAAGTGATACTACATTTTTAAGTATGTTTCCTGTGGCTGCTCAGAGCAGAGGTGGTGGAAGCGTGAAAAACCATGCAGCCCTGATGCGGTTACTTGATGCACTGGTTTGGGAAACAGCTAAATTCACTTAACATAGAGCATCAGAAGGATTAGAAAATACGTGTAAAGTAAAAAACAAATGCTTTATTGAGTCTTCTGTGGCATATTCTTGATACCAGAAATCTTACAATGATCGTATTCTATTATTACATATATAATTATATATAGGCGGCTTATAAAAACGTGAACATGCACATTTGAATTTTTTAACAGTAAGATGAAATGAAATACACAGATCTGTCACATTCTCCTGATATCTAGGAAAAAACGAGGGGAAATTTTGATGACTTGTTTTACACACGCAAAACAACAGCAGGGATTGCCCGTCATGCTTTAGCGGTATAAAAAGGAGCAGAGAATGTTCTCTGGATTTAACCATGGTTTTGCAAATTTTTACAAGGGAATAAACGTTACAACAGGATAATGTTGCTTTGGATTAAATAGTTTATGTGTGTTTTTGTACAACACAAGAAGTGTATAATGCTGTAGTGCATAGATGCACAAGAATGAGAGACTCATACTGTGTTTCAGGTGGTGTCAGTAAGTGGGGAAATCGTGGGAGCAGGCTATAATGAGTCAACTTAAAGGATTTTCTGTGTATTTTGTAAAAATATAGAAAGAGATTAACTGTAGAACTACAATGACTTTCGCCCTTTTGCCTTGCTTATATGGACATGTACTTATTGAAATTCTATTTCTAAAGGAACCTCCTACTAAAATGGAGATTACAAACATATTTTAAAATTATGATGAAGTTATTTCTTGGAATTTAAAGAGCAAGCACACCAAATATACTGAAGTGAGTTAAAATACAGTTTCCATTAAAAAACCAAATTGTGCTCTGTATCTTCTTACTATGATACACTGTGTTAGCTGATGATGCCATTATCATTACTCAAGTCTGTGTATTTGTCTAGCTTTTTCAAATATAATTTTTGCATACGGAATTCCCCCCAAATGTATTTACTATATTTGTAGATAGACTGCTGAATTTAAACAATTTTAAATATCACCATGTTACAGAGTTACCCATGGTGTGATTGGACACATCCTCCCTTCACCCCCAAAAAGCAAAAGTCATGGCAGAAGTCGTTTACCATGCCAGAAGCATCGCCGAATGTAAACTTTTTCAAAATAGTGTGCATGCAACTCTGTATGAATCGTGATAATACCCAGAACATTGAGTCTAAAAGATAATGGACCTTTCTTGCATTCCCAAACTCAGTAGGATAGCTTGAAATTGGTAAGGGCAAAAGTCGCGTGGCTTTGCCTCCTGCAGATGTAGGAGTTCTGTTTTATCTTTCTAAGTGGGTTTTGCTGTGGATCTCCATCTCTGGAGTTACTTAAGTGCCTATAGCATCATAAATCATCATCTTCATCAGTC